CTTCATATCCCTCAAACTTAAAGAAGCCAGTATTGAAAAGATAAAGCAGAATAAAATCAAAACCTAAAAAAAACACGAGTGCATGACAAATGTATATAAGATATGTATATAATAGAAAAATTAAAAATAATAACTCTAGGATTATTTTTTATGACTTGTTGTCAGCTTTTGTTAACTGCAAATATTTGCCTCTGTGGACAGTTGGAAGGCTGGAAGAAGGGAGTTTTACATTTATTTGAATAAGCTATTTCTTTGCATTGTCCATAAAGCAAGTAGTTTTGCATCTGATCTTTCATGAGTACATTTACCAGTTAAAGTTCTGTAAATTAAGCATTTAAATTAAGCATTTTTGGTTTGAGTATGTGGTTGCAACAATCATCTACTCCTATAATGGCTTTTCTTTTAAAACTTGATGATCAGCAAGCCAAGATACCTTGCAAGCTCTGTATATGCTTACAGTGCTCTGTAAAAGCTTAGAAAGCTTTTGGAAACAAGCAAACAAACAAACAAACAAAAAAACAAACAGAAAGCAAGGCCTTAATTGAAGAGATTCACAAGCTTCAGAATTAGTAAGCCCTTCCCATGCTCACTGCCTGTTACCGGAGCTTATAGGGCTATCTCTGCTCTCACTGCAAAAATACATGAGGTGGTGGCAGAAAACATGCCCAGCTCCACTTCGTCAGGGTTAATGGGCACTACATGCTTCACTGAGAAACTGTGTTTGTAATTCACATGAGTGTCTCACAGGAAGTATGCCAAGGGATCCAGTTTCTGCCATCAACTATCTCTGCCAAGTCCCATGAAGAAAACAGGGAGATTTCCATGGAATTTACAAACTTTACAAGCACCCAGGCAGTAAAGGAAATTGGACAGTAGCAGAGCTACCATGTCCTGAAAGTTTCCTTAAAAAGTACATGTTGAAAAGTACTTTTTTTCTGAAATGCTAGCTTTAAACACCCAACCTGCAATATTATAGAAAGCAGCCAGGCTGTTTTTTCTGATGGTTTATAAAATCCTGGAACCAAATCATACCTTAGTTGCACCTGTTCCAGCCCTATGCATCAGACTACTGTCCCAAAGAAACTCTTGTAATCACCAGTGGAATTAAATTACATATGAAAATACAGTCATTTAAACAAGTTTGAGATTACTTAAATACAATAAAACAGAAAAAGCCTATTCATATTTCCACAGCCAATCCTAACATACTTGTTGTGGCCCAAAAGAGAAATACATGTCATTCCCTGTTTGCCTTACTGCTCTGGCCAGCTGGGGATCAAAAAGGCTATAACCTTTTCAGAGGAGCCAGTGTAAAATTGATTTTGGCATTTTGCCTCTGCTCCAGTTTATACAGAAGCTGTCCTATTGATTCTGAAGGAATTATTTGTGGACTACTAGGCACAAGAAGAAAAACAAAGTGAATGTCCTGATTTCTTGTTAAGAGTCCACACCAGGCTGCTTGTGTATCTAACTTTCACATGTATTCAAAACAGAACATCAAGTTTATATATTATGTATTACTGCTGTTCCAACAATGAGACAGAAAACGAGCAGAAACTGGAATCTACAAAGGGGAAACATGCTTTGATCAATTCTATGCTTGTAGAGAGCCAACTGTGATTATAGGTAGCAACTTTTACAGTAGATTTGTTATACAAAATCTGCAGTCAAGTATGCTTCTATAATACATTGAAATCCAATCTGACATATCTGAATTAAAAAATAATCCAATTTAGTAGACAAATGCTTCCTTTTTTTTTTTTTCCTTCAATCTATTTGGATGTTTTGGTGTTGTATCTACAAATATATGCATATTTATCACTGTTTCATTTTCTAAATTTTGTTCTTGCCTCCAGTCTAGAAGTGATAAAATTATATTCCTGAAGTGTTGGGTATATCCAGTAGACTTCTTCAAAGTGGTTATGACAGCATGGTGTCCGATTCACTCACCTGAAGGGATGGATTCAAAGTATCTTCTGTCCACTCATTTGTCATTGATCTATGTATCATGTTCAGTCAGTAAATCTATGTTAGAATAACTTATTCCGCCTGAATTCCACCCCTTCCACTAGAACAGAAATGTTTTGTAAATGAATGACACCTCACTCCAAGCAGTACTTTTTTTTGTGTCAGCATCTCCTTCATCACGTCCCACTGAATTTCACTGCAGGAAAACACTATTTAATACAGTATTATTCCTTTGCTCAAAAAGGAAAAAAACCATGGTGAAAAAACACATTTCCTACAGAAAATATTCTCCAAAGTAATACTATACCACTCAAGTTTTACTCACATAAAAACACATTCATTTGTATTTTCACCTTGGGTAGGAGGTAAGGTTTTCAAAAAGGCAGAACATGACAGGGGATAAAGGGTTATGAGTTAGCCTAGAAATAAGCAGCGAATGAGGACAGCCTCTGAGGCACTGATACAGTACTCAAATGTTTATCCTTGTCTCTAAATTGAAAGCAGCCACTGACCTAGACTGTTAGGAACAGGATAAAACTCATCACACAAAGGAGGTAATGGTTGCCACAAAGGAAATAAATGAAAGTCTTGCAAAAAGTTTAGTCCCCAGAAAGACCATTAGGCCATATCACACTGTGGTAACACTGGCAAAGATAAGGAAGAAAGCTGTTTGTGCAGCTTTTACTGTACAATACACCATTTTAGTCCATGCAACTACTCTGTCATTTCTAGAAAGAACATCACAGCGCTTCTGAAGTGCTTGTAGTGCTTGTCTGCAATTACCACCCAAAAAGCCACTGTGATACAGAGGTCATGGTATATGGTTAAAAAAAATCTGTTAAACAAAGCGGCAAAGAGAATTAAGAAACAATAGCTAAAATCAAGCTCAGGTTGTAGGATTTGGCAGATGGATCAATGCATATAATAGGTTTAATTTGCTCACAAATACTTGTAGATGAAATTCTTACACATGGGCAACAATCAATCCTGGTTGAGAAAGGATAGTATCTGGGGAGGGTACATTCAGTACTGCAACTTCACTAAAAGTTTAGTGCTTAATGTAGCAGAGTTGCTTCCAACATTGAGGCCATGAAAATTAACTAGCTTAAATTAAACCAGAGAGTTCGCCTAATACCTCTAACACTTAGAGGAGAATCTCTTCCTTTCAGTGTCAGTGTTTTATTTGCTCATCAGTAACCACTAAGTGCCTTATGAAGACACTGGCTTGTAGTGTCTTGCAAAGAAAGAATCTTTGTTCTTTTTCTATTTTTGAGTTAGGCAATGAAGTATTTATATGTTACATATCATTAGAGTATGACAGTTTTCATGGATTTTTGTAGAATGAATAATTTGCTAGATCAACAAAACTGCTCTTAAAAATTAAAAAAAAAAGTCATTTTTGTCTCAATGAACTATTCTCTTTACAAAATTAAATCAAGTGGTGAATGGGGAAAATATAACTAAAGAAAAGCAGGGAAAGACTTTATCTCCTATGTAGGGCAAGCAGTGATAAAATTCAGCTCTAGAGAAAAGCTATCCCTCCTTCTTTTCAATATTTTCCCCTGCTTTCTGATTTCATTGCCACTGTAGTTCTCATGCACATGGGAGAAAAATGACACGTAGAGGCAACAAAGAGCAGCAAATTCTCCAAATTTAGCAATGCAGCAAAAGTAACATCTTACTCAAGTTTTGCCTACGTGAAAGTGAGACAAATTCTGAAATTAATCCCACTATAACGTCTGAATGAAAATACTCTTTTCCTCATCAGTTTGTCCCCCTTCTCCTCAGACTACACCAACAATCTGTAACAACTTTCTGCAGTTTAAGGTAGCTCTAATGTCATGCAGAACCTTTTAGAGGGCCACAAAATTCTCAAGAGATGATGCTGTTCAAAGGCACACGAACAAAGGCTCTTTCAGTTTAGGGCTGTTGTGTATACACATCAGAAAGTATTTTTGCTATTGAGGCTGCTGGGACAAGCAGACAAAGGCAGTGAACTGGGGAAGAAGCACAGGAAAAGTGCTGCCCATCTGTTTGAAATGATCTATAACACATAGGTGAGGGAAATGGACTCTAGAAAATCCTGTGAGAGGAAGGTTTATTCCCAAAGAAAGGAGATTCCTGCCCTATTTAAAATGCCCTTTCAAGGAGCTCAGAATTTGAAGATCTCAATAAATAACAATATCTCCTCATTCTATGCTGCACAATAAAACACCTTTCTTCTAAATATTTGGATGATAATCTGTCTTTGCAAGATACCAGCTCTGTCCTACAAAGTGACCTTTATATGGTCTGTGAAATATAATCTTAACACTGTTTTTAATCACTGGTTAAAATGAATCCCTTTCAAATACATAGTCACCAGCAGTAACCTAATTTCTACATAATCGTAATGACAAATATGTCTGCAATGTTAGCCTGAAGATGACAGTTCCAAAGACAGCGCATATAGGAGCAGAAAGATGGAATAACTAAAGCATTATAATGAAAAAAATATATATATATTATCATTACAACTCTTATTTCAGGACTTCACTTTTCACTGTTCTGCATTGTTCCTGTATCCTATATGCAATGCCTCAGACTTCATAGTTTTTTTAAGCCTGATCATTGACTGACTTGTGAGCAACTAGAGACTTAGGCCAAGCATGGAAGACACCAACCCAACCCTCCCTACCATCCCATGTGGTTATGAGGAAACCTTTGATTTTATTTTTTAAACATAATCTTTCACCATCATCACAGAAGAAAAAACAGAGAAAATTTTACAGTTCCAATGTATGTTTTCCAGATACTAAGTTCTGGACTATCAGGCATGTTTCAAAGCACAGTAAGAAGTCTCAATTTTTAGCATTGGCACATGATGTGGTTTTAAGCAAAGGAAGAAGAATCAGATGATGCAGAGTAATTTGATAACTCAGACCAAGCCCCTTGATTTGTAGCCTGAGCAAAGGATCGAAGGCAATCTGTCCAACAGGGAGAACAACACCAGAAAAGGAACACAAGATGGGCAGAAGCAGGTGAGAACTTACCACTGGAGCAATTGGGTCCTCCCCACCCAGGCTCACACTGACAGGTGTTTGGAGCAATACAACGACCATGGACACATTTATCAGCACAGTGAGCTGTCAGAGACAGAAATAAAAATAATAAAATAAACTCCTCCTCCTAGGAAAAAACATGTCCAAGCCAACCTCTTCATACTATTGGCTCAAGTATTTTTCAAAAGCAAAATGTACATATTAATGTTTGATGGCACTGCTTCAAAATACATCTGCCGACTTCCATGTCTTTCATTTTCCTAATTCTGAAGGTTCCAACTAAAATGATGTTGGGAAACTTACATACTTTTTTGCATTTAAACAATACATTCAAATAAATACATACATAAATGTATAACATTTATAACATACATTCAAAGAGACTATAACATACATTCAAAGTCAATAGTTGAGACACAAAATAATACAGGTTGGAAGAGAACTCTCATACAAAGCCAAAAAGAGATAGTTGTGTATCCAAAATCAACGGGTTCTCTCTCTCTCTCTTATTCACATTACACCAGTGTTTTCATATTGATTTTTGTGAATGGTTGCCCAGTTCAGATAAACACAATGAAACAGTAATAATAATTAAGGTTAGGCATAGAATATAAAACTTATGAATCACTGCAGCCTTTATTCTAAGTGCTAAGTAAATTGTCTTAATTTTTCTAATGCGAATTTTTATGATTATTTTCAAGCATATGTTTTTTCATTATTGAGCTTATTTTAAAATAAGACGTGTTTCAAACTCCAAGGAAAATAACAAATGGCTTCTTCTGTACCCAGTATACAGCTGTAACTAAATCAGAATGCAATACACTGACACAGAAAAATTCACAACTAGTAACACAGGTTGTTGACATCACATTCATCAGTAAATTGCCATAAATTTGCAAAACATATCGTACTAATATTTTTTATCAAATTCAAAAAACAATAATGCTTTAAAAATATGCCCAGGACAAGCATATTCTCAGGAAAAAAAAAAAAAAAAAACGTGACAAGAACCTGATCAGTATGCCAAAGAATGGGAGGTCAATAATGCTAAAAAACAGAAGGCTGGTCTGCAAAAGAAATGTAATGGGGTTAAATATGTTTTGTTTTGTGTTATTCTGGATCTATTGAAAATACCCTACAGTAATTAGGACAAACATTTGCAATGACTTTTTTCTAATTACACACAATGAGTCAGGATGGATGTCTTTATATATTATGTGGCCCAGAAAAATGAAAGCCTCACAGAGATCAACCATATGTATTGCTAAAATCTTCAGTTACTTTGGATCCAGACTGATAACCACATGTTGTTACACCCTTAAATTTTCCTTCTCAATTTTTACTTGTAATAACCTATATTTCAGTGGTACATTAAAGTTATCTTTGTCTGAAATCAACAGTGAGAATATTTATTTTAAATAGCACGCAATATAAAATACTAATGTGAAACTATTTCATTGTCCTCTTTATTTACTATGAAAAGAATTAATTTAAATAATGCAGCACAATTTTCCATTAGCGCTGCAAATAGACATGAATTATTTGCATCTTTAAAAAATCTTGCCTAATAAATACCACCTTGGGCACTGAAATGTCCCCCAAACCAATGTCTTGTAAAATCTTTCCTGTAATGTGTAAGATAGCACAAGGTAGCAGTGCACACATGTGTCTTTGCGCATATACATGTGTAAATAACTTAGTGAATACCAACAGAGTGGATTCAAATTCTTGAGCACGGAAACTAAACACAGAAAAGCTATACCCTATAGCACATTTTGTGACACAGGAAAAGAAGAAATACAAAAGTGAAAATCTGTAAAACCATAGCAGGCTGTTTCCTAGATGGTTTTAGCTCTGTAAGCCTGTACACAAACAACACTTGAGAAAAGGAACTTGAACAAAAAAGAAGAAATGTGAAATAGATGAAATTCAGGGACAGCATGTTTGCAGTGTTTTAAATCATAGATATATTCTTAGCTCAGAGACGGCAAGTTAAATTAACATGAGCTTCACTTAAGTCAATTAAGTAGTGTTTTAGTTTCCACTATAGTACAACTTGGATCAAATATAACTCTTCAGAACATGATTCTCACTACTAGCTCTCTGCATTTACTCTATGTAGAATGAGCTTGGGTTTTTTGACATCAAAACTCAGCTGCCTCTAACAATGTAAGAAATACATGATCAGATCTACTGAAGGATGTGTTACCACAGAAATATTACTGCTTCAAAAATCTTCAATCAAACATGTTAAAAAGATAAATATGTATTATATACAAACATTTCCATCTTGAAGAAGAATTCTTTACTTTGATGAAAGAAAACTAAAGTATGTTTCAAAAAATGTACAATTTACATAAAATATTTAGTATTTCTTTTTTAGACTTTCTCAATACCCCAAAATGCATCTGATCAAAGATTGCCTGGACACTGGACATAAGAGAAAACCTATTTTGAAATAATAATAAATAAATAAATAAATAAATAAATATTTGTAGACATTTTCTGGGGCTAACTGTGAGATATCTGGCAACTGAACCCAAGTGAACATCTTACATCAAGAAAATCAGAATTTTCCTACAAAAAAACTATAAAACCTAAAAAATGTGTAAGATGAAAGACATGTGGAAAGTAACATGCTGAAAAGCCATGAAAATCCTTCGGGGATAGAGAACCTACCTTAGCTGGGTTTCCGACACAACTATAAGACACAAAATATCTATGGGCAAGAGCAGGTGGCACAAAGTCTCTGTGGCACTCAGCAGTGTAAATAAGCACCAAAAATTCACTGACACCAGTAAATTGCATAAATCATATCTTACTCCTTTGTCAAGAAAATCAATTACCATATGAAAAGAAATCTAAGCTTAACTGTTGCATATGTGCTTTTACAACCTATTTTCTTTTTATTGTGTATCTTATCACTTACTTCAAAACCTTCTCTAAAATTTTGCCTCATCAAACTTGCAGGCTGATATTTTAGTGGATCACATCTTTTCCTTTTTAAAAATCAAGAGGTATATTTGCTATCCTTTGCTTACAGAGCACCCGGCAACTGACATATCGTCTGCCAGTACATATCCCTGTTCCAGCCCTTTTGGCATAGGGTGGAGGGTCTCCAGTCCTCAACTGAGGTGCAAGACTCCCCAGGATCTGTGTCTATCCCAGCTGCAGTAACTGGTGTTTTGTAGCCAACCAAAGGAAAATGCCCTGCTAATGCACATTTCGCACCCAAAACATCGGCACCATTGCAAGAGCTTACGAGGAGTACTGCAGTGTAAGATCTCCATGAGCTCCATCCCTTCAGACAGGCAGCTCGTACCAAAGGGATTAAGCTAGAAGCGTAATGCACGTTAAGAGCTTTAGGTCTAGTTGTCATTTTCAGGCACGAGTCTCATGGCTTGTACTGGTTTCCAACAATGGAAAGGAGCTCAGGAAAGACTGCAACTGAACTGCCTACTTAGAAATTTCTGAATGTCATTTTATGAATCTGAGCTCTGTGATTATGAAAGTGATATGGAGTTGCTTAATCACAAGCCACTACAAAAGACATCTAGACAATTGTGCATAATGTATCTCAGGTTGAAAGGAGATACGGAAGAATCTGCAGTAGCAGATTTTGAAAAAGAATGAGATTTTTTATTTTCAATGAAAGCTTATGCATGCCTTCTTACAGCTTTTTCTTTTTCATTTTGAAAAGCCAGACAAAAAACAATTAACATAATTAAAAGCTTGAAATATTTTGCCCGTAATTATCCATGTGAGTAAATGACCAGGGAAATTAACTACATTTCCATAATTAGACTTTCTGCTGTAAGTAAACACATCACACCACTGAATGAGCTAAAACCTGAAATCCCCTATTAAATAATATTCTTATCAATTTTATAGAGAATTCTTATTAGAAAGAACTGAGTAACCAAGCTGGGTCTTCTTTTGGGTTGTACATAAATCTCCATTTTATTTCCTTAAGTTAAATGACTTCCAACAAACGAAATCACTCGGTGTGTATGACACACTCTGTGTGTTTTGTATTCCTCCTAATACTATACTACACTACTATTTTGATACTTACACTCTTCAAAAAGAGTAATTTGCAGAGGTTTACCACTGTGGGGAGGAAAAAAAACCTTCTATAACTTTAGAAATATTCCAAATTTTCTGAAGGAAATTTGAACGCATAAATCCTTTTAAAATAGGAATGGAAAAGATCTCACCTGCATATTCTACAAGAATTAACTTTAACTGCTAAAATAACTAAAATATGCACAAAATATTCATCACTTTTCATGCAAAATAAACTCTGCATATCTTTAAAACTCAAAAAGAATGTGTATTTTCACATATAAATAAATACATTTTCATTTTTGTATTTCATGTTAGATTGTATCTTTCTGTTAATCATTTTGTTCTATGTATGATGACTTATTTTAGAAAGTGGTATTCAGTCATGCATTAGACAATAAAACAGTATTTTCCATTCTATGTTCAGGAACAATTCAACACACATTCCTGTACCATAGAAAAGGCTGCACATGAACAATAGGTGTAATACATCAATTTAAGGTATTCTTACGCAGCTTTCATTTAACTAAAGAAAGACATGAAGCAGGATCCTACAGCCCCATAAATATCTCAACCTAAATATAAGTTGTCGTATGATCTCTCTGCTGTTAGCATTACCGTTACCTGCTTCTGATACTGCTTATGCCATTGCTATTACTTGCCTGTCCATTTCTCAGGTAAAAGGTGTGAAGATTCATTTGAGGATATCAGTAATCATATTTGTACTTGAGAGGCTGGTTGTATGAAGTGTAGTGTTGTACTGTAGAGACCACAAGCTTATCAATGGCATTAGTTAAAGGATGAGAATGCTAAAATTCTGTATCAGAGTCTGGCAGTTTACAGTACAACATTTCTCTTTTACTTAGAGTGAATGACAAGAAAGGCTTGTAGTACTCTTGCCATATAGAAGCTGACCTATCAAATCCATAGAGAAAATGCAAATAGAATTTTTGCCAAAAAGTGAAAACTGAATACTAGATTCAGCTGTCAAAGTCTTCAGGAGAAGCTGGAGTCAACAGAAACCTTTTGTCTTGACAGGAACTCAAAGTCATCTTTTCAGATTGAACTGAAAAAAAAATAAACCCCTTAAATTCCGGGTGATATTTTTGTTTGTCTGTTGATCATTGATCATCCTTGTGAATACAATGCTTAGAGGCTTCAGCAAAATAAGGCTACCACATTCTTGCGATGCCTTCAGGTAGTGACACATAATTCTCTTCCCATCACAGAGAAGTGGAGCTACCATTAGACAGTCCTACTTCTATGCAATTAGTTACTCATTACTATTTGTGCTACAGAGTCCTAACTCGTATTTCAATACGGAAATTACACATTTTCATTCACCATCACATGCTTTAAAGTCTCATGGCCCTCTAAAAACATTTGCCAATAGAAATTTCTAATTGAGCTTCCTAAATTTAGGTGCCAAATTAACATACAAATCAAATGCAAAACATCAACAGCACCACAAATGTTTTATGCTTTTTTCATACAAAAACATCCTACACAGTCTTTAAGAACTGAGGAATTCACATGGCAGGAAAAACAAAGCCACCTAATGGGAATCCTTCATATGTTGAGAAGCAGCAGTGTCAAAAAAGGTATCAAAAACACTTCAATTTGATTTTATTATCTTTCATCCTTCAGCATAAAAATGGGGTACATACATATGTACATTTTTCAATAGGATTCTCATTTTAAGAAATCTTTTGCGTTAGCTTTTTGCCAGTGATATTTCTGCTAAGATGATCTAGAAGAGTCCTTCTCATAATACTAAGCCTTACAGGTTGATCTCAGTTGATAGCAGCATGCCACTTATTTTCCATTTACATAAATTGCATGAACAATATCATCACAGTGTATGCTGGCATCATCTACTCTAGTATGCACAAATTCATTATGAAAAAAAAGCTGGTTGAAACAGTAAAAACCCTCAAGTATTTGCCTTACTGTATTAATTACTGAGTTCCTCCCATGCTGTGACTCTTCAGCATGAAGATTATGAGGGAAAAGGGCATCTTCTGGGTCACTGACATCTTTTTATGCAATATCAGTAAAATTTAATACATCCAGGTAATCTGAATTTATTATATTTTGGTGATTACTGTATTTATAAAAATACAATATTCATACAGACTATTGCATTATTTATAATACTCTGAATGTTACTCTATTTATACGGAATTAATGTACCACATGTTATATCTACATGTTTTATCTATGTAAAAGCTATACTCATGTAAGAGGCTCATAATCACAACATTTCTTATAAGATTAGTCACTGTTCTATAGTTTAATTAATAAAAATAATAAATCACATGAGTATATAATCACCCTATTATATAATCTTATGTACTATGTAATAACCTCAATATAGCTAGAATTTTGTTCTTATGATTTTTATACATGCTAATAAAAAAGCTGCTAATCTTATTGTAGATCAACCCATTTAAAAACTGGGGTTTTTTTTAATCATGTGCAGAAATATACTTTAAATCAAAGATCTTATTTGAAATACCAGGAAGTGCTATATGATGAAAATATATATGAAGATCCTGTGACATCTTACGACATTCACAAGGCATAATCTTCCATGATGTAAATAAATCCTATAGGCCATTTCCAGAATGCACCTCACTACAACAGGAAAGCTACCTCTACACAAATTAATAAACTAATTTGTAATTTGTACTGAATAAGTGAACTTAATCTACCAACTGATGCTAATTTTCAGGCACTATTTATTGGTAAAGACAGACAGAAGACTCATCTACTGCACTGTTTTCTCCTAAAACTGAGTTGCAAACTGTAGTGACAGTGATGCATCTTGTTATCCATTATTTTGCAAAACATTTCATTTCCAAAGTGTATCCATACATTCTGCACAACTATCATTGTAACGGCGGGGAACACAATAAAGCAATGAATATATCTTTGTATTTCTTATCCTTAATTCATAAAAAAAAAAAAAGGGAGTAAGGTTTATAGAGTTAGGCTGAAAACGTGTTGTAGCAGCGGCCATGACATGAAGCAAAGCTTCTTGCAAGAGGAGCCAGCCCTGCTGCCAAATGAGGACACATGCTGTTGCTCTCCCCAAAAGCTGATCTCTTCATTTATTTCACCATGCCTGGCTTGATCAGGAAGTGTAACAAGTCCTGAGAACAGCCCCTTCAATCCAGAGACTCCTGCCCTCAGCATGCTGCTCTGCTAAGGCCCCACATTTTGAAGAAAATTCAATTACTCTCTCAGTTAATCTTCATAAAGGTTCTAACATTGTTTTTAAGTCTTGCAACTAGAACAGCTGAAGCAAAAAACATGAGAGGATACAGCTGTTTTCGACTGTAATGCGTGTACATTCTGTCCGTGCAAATTAATAAAGCTATATGCACAGGTCAATATAGCAAATGACAGTTGCAGACATGAAACCATCTCTGATGAGCCTAACTGTTCAAGAAGAAGACGGGGAGAGAGGCCTTGTGCACCGACTTCTGGAAAAGGGATAGCTGGAGTCCGCGCTGCACACATTTGCATTCGCAGGGACAAGGACACATTCAGGAATTTCAGATTCTAGTGAATGGATTTCATTCAAGGATAAACTGCACTGCACAACTGCTCACCTAGCAGCAGCTCCCTGCTGTCACCCCGGCCCACCTGAGCAACCAGCAAAAAGCCCCCATTGTACAGCACTGAGCAGCCTTTCAGCGGGCCTACATTAAACCCTTTGTAACACACTTTCAGGCCTCTGAATTAACACATCCACTGTTTCCGTTGTGCCTTTCTCCTGCATTCTTGGATGAATATGATTTTAAGAACCAGACCTTTCTAGGCTGTGCGAGGCCATACGGAAGAGAGGAGAAGACCGAGCCCAGGTCATCACCCATCCCGGAGCACAGCTGTTCCCTCCTCCAGACTCCAGGAAGGCTGGACTCAGAGGGATCCACCACCAGAAAGGCAGCACTGCCTTCCAGCAACTCCTACAGCCACTGCACACACAGGACAGACTGAACAGGGGACTGACCTGGACCTCTGTGAGGAGAAAACTCTCCTATTTCCCTTTTGGTCTTGCACTTAATGCTTACTTATTGTGTTGGAAAATACACCAATACTTGTGCTGTCTGAGGTGAAACGCGCGATCTGATCATTAGCAAGAATCATGTCAAATTTAGTTACGTAGACATCTGAGGTCCAATTATCCTGTCATTTGCACGTGCACAACACCATTTGACTTCACTGAGCATTGCACGTGCGCTACTGATGGGATAATTGATCCCCTGGTAACTCAGATCCCACAAGTCTTCCTCCAAAGAGGAGTCAAACCAGCATGGTGAAAAACATACAGAATTTCAAAGCAAAAAAAGAAACGGCACTTACGGACACACATTTCCCTGCTTTCATAAAACCCAGGACAGCACTGGGATTTACGTCTGTACATTGTTTTTTCGCCATGTCTGTAGGCAGTTCGGTAACTGATTCTGGAGGAAAAAGACAGAATGGTTGTTACATAATTTATACCATTTGGAAAGTCAACAATTTATGTTTTTACACATTTTAGATGTCTATAAGTATCTTATATATTTTAAGTATTATTAAAAGGATAGCAAAACCCAAAAATCTTCAAGAAAACAAAGAGACCTTGATTTATCTATTGCTGAGATCAGTCTCAGTGGTTTCTTCTGGAAATTCTGCCTTACTGGCCCTATTTCCATGGGTGGTCAGACAGCAGTTAAAAAAAAAAAAAGGTAAAAAAAAAATTGGGTACCAGTGTACTTAACCAGTACACAAAGCATTATTACATCACTAGCATTATCATCCCCCATGAAGCACCCCTCATGGGAGATTAAAGGCTGTCAGTACCAGTTAGTTTGCTAGGTATCAATGCTAGGTTAGTTTGCAGGTATCAATTAACGAAGAAACAACCTCCAGGAAGAGAAATCATCACATAAGAACAGCAAGGGTGTGCCCAAAGCATTGCTGCTTTCTGCTACAAGCAAACGTTACTAGAAGCAGGCTCTCCTCCGCACTGTCCCTCTCTGCTTTCACCACAACCTCAAATCCCTTCCCCAGTCTCTCCTGGCTGCTGAATACACACTACACACAGCAGTAAACACATCCTCTCAATACCTCAGCAAATTTGAACTCTCAGCAAAGAGCACCACGCATCTAAGAGGAACCATATGCAAAAAAAATAAAAATAAAAATAAAAAAAGAAGTATAATCTCTCTTTGAACTCAGTATCTGCTTTTCACATTCTATCCACACTGAGCCTTTTCCTCTCAGCTGCTCTGCCCCAGGGAACCTTTCCCACTTCTGATCATTCACACTTATGGGCATATTCATCCCTGAGGAAAATGGCTTTTACAGCTGTCTAAGCCAGTTTTGAGTCATTCACTCCTTGCTTACCTTTCACAAGGCACAACAGGGAGTTTCCTTTAGTAAATCTATTTACTTCTCTAGCAAGTAGTGCATACTTTCCGCAGAACGTATAGTTCTGAGTGGCAGAGAGTTCTGAAGGCAGAGAGGTGCCTCACACAATATTTCTGACCATGCACTCTTTGCCACATCTGGGGGGCATTTATTTTAGTATATTCCATTTTTTCCTAATCTGTCATTTTTCTACTAGCACTCCATAGGTTGATGAACCCTGACCTGCCAATAAAACATATGTGATACTGCTTGGTCTACACAAATGCATTTGCCAGTTATCGTAGAGCATAATAGTCAGATCAATTAGTCAATATAGCTAAAATATCCTATATATTTTACTTGATTTTAACATACAAAACCTCTACAAATGCCCACTGTATCAGTAGCTTGGCAGTATTAATGATTATACATCACCTGTGTCGTGTGCACTTAAACCAGTTTAGGATGTCAGTACAACTGGTGTAGTAAATTTGGTCAAAAGGATGTGGATATGACTCTTGCACTGTGACGGAGTAACTGGGGAGAGAAAGTAGACAGATTATTGAGTAATTTTTGTTTCAGTACAGTCTGATTAGTCTTTTACAGAACCCTGGAAAGTAGCTGTAGTTAGAACTGATAACAAATCACATATTTAAGCACATTTTTGCCAAGTCCACCTAGGAGTGCCCACATTAACAGTATGCATAATACCATACAACTAGTAGAGTCTTATAACAGAGACTCGATAAACTCTTAGTAGGGTCTCTAATAAAGATTTTTGCTTCCTAAGGTGAGGAGTCTGATAAAAATGTGATCCAGTGCTCACAAGCAAAACTGTATAAGCGCTTACAAATTACAAATGGCCTGCTGGAGTCTGTACTACTGAAGTACTAGTTAGGAGACACAGAAATAGTTTTTTTCTACTACTAATGTACAAAACTGAAAATTTTGGCTGGATTTTCTGAGAAATTTCTTCTAAAAACTCCATATCTACAGCAAAACCTCTCAGTTCTGGAAAACTGCGTCAATGTACTGAACTGAATGCTTAAAGAGAAATATATGTAAGTAATAATTCTTGAAACTAGAATTATGCCACATAGCAGTCTATTCAGCAATCAGAAATTATAAAGCATTGAGTCTGTACTTTTTGTTTGGTTGGTTAGTTTTTAATAGAGATTTTTTTTCCCACAATACTATACTGAACTAATACTACTTACTGCTAAGTTGCAAGCACAGTGTTTCAGAAATAGATAGTGCTCTGGAGCCTAAAGGCTGTGAAGTAATATGTGAGGCAAAAGGCACAGGGCTCCATTACAAAAGAGAAAAATATTGAATTATCCTAGAAAACTCTTAAGTAGACTGTTTGTGCTGGCAGTACTCAGGCCCTGATTGCATAATGGGGTTAGTTAGCAAATAGGGGAATGCATGGTATGTTTCTTCTCCAGCACTCATTCCCAGGACCAGTCAAAACACTTACTAATTATATACCCCACCTGGCTTTCGATTACAGCGTCTCTGACCTCTTAGCACCTATTACAGGGTAATAGCCACAACCTTGTCTTGCTACTGTCATCACCTACACTGCGAGAAAACACGTCCAGGTTGGCCCCAAAACTTACTCTCTGTTTCCCTGTGCCCATATAAAGGCAAGCAAGTCTGATCCACCAGCTGTCGGCCCGAGCCCAGCGAACGCTCGGGGGCTGGCGGTGCTTGCCGGGGCTCTGCGCTTTCCGTTTTTCCGAGGGCCTGCTCTTTCCTGTGCTGCGGTCACAGTTCATTCCTAAGGAGTGCTCTGTCAGTGGGTGGGCTAGTTTATTTATTGCCGCTTCACTCAAACATGCTTTTATATATAAGGACAGTAAACAGAAGGCATACAGATCTAGGAATAGCATTCAATAATATCCTGGACTATTGCATGAATATTACACACAGTATTAAGCAGGTAAAGATCAACGTATTTAGTAGGGTAGCTACTAGATACTCATGCTTTTGTATATGGCAAATTATAAACAAAGGTACGGGCAGAGACCCAAATGTTTTGTGTGAAACTCAGACAGATTGCTGGGGAAAATCTTTTAAGTGTTCTTTTATGTACGTAGACTTCATGAAAAAAAAATAATAATACAAAAAGGAGCTTCAACTTTCTTTGCAAAGATACAGCGACAACTGCAGTAGCTCAGGAGCACTCCCAGTGTTTAAGCACAAAATACAATTTACCCCAAATTCAGGAAACATATGCAAGTCCTCAAATGAGCAGTTAGCCTGTTTCAAAGACCAGCTGATCAGTTATGGTCATAATTAAGTAATAACGAGACCACAAAGTACAGTTCCATTATTATAATCTTTACACAAGAAAAGTAGTACAACAAATGCTTGTGGCTTAATCTTCCCTACCTATTGTGCACATTCGACTTGCAATTAATGTGAAATCAGGTGAAGGAACGGACTAACTAGACTGATGAATTTATAGCAGTACAGTATAAATTTCTGACCTCATCAAAAAATTAAACAACAAATCTTAATTTAGATTCAGGGAACGTTGAAAAGGAAAGAATCAGCATAATCAAATTTGGCCACATTCCAATATGACTAATTATATTCTGCATATATAAAAGCCTTCTCTTCATTTAAATTCAAAACTGTTATTTTTATTCACTTCTTTTCTCTGGACAGTTCTGCAATGCAATGTTGCTGGTGTCACCGCAAAGTTTTTTTGCATTGTACCCCTACCATGAAGACGGGTGCATTTCAGCACTGGGTGAAACAGTCTTTTGAGCTTATTTTGCCAATGTGGGGATACAAAATATTATTCCCAATTCATCATTTAACTGCAAGCTTTAAATCATTTGAAATGCATTAACTGAAACAGAACAAGCTAATCAGACCTGTACCATCTATTCTCTAAAAGAAAGTATTACCTTTCCCAGTGGCTACACACATTTGGATCCTCAAGGTTCAGAGATAAAGTTGCTCCCATCCAATGGTATAGAAGCACAGCAGGGAAGCCAAAGAAGTAGTTCAAAGGAAGAACCATCTTTTCAAAAAGGTGATCTAGAAGAAAAATAATAATAATACATTACTGGTATCATACAAATGAAAAAGGAGCTGCAACTACCAGCCATTAAACCAGGAATCCTAGCTGAGATGATGTAAAGCAACGGGTACTTCACAAGTGCAGTGAGATTGGCTAGCAAAAACAGAATGATTTCCATGCCACAGGCAACTCAAATTTGGGTTTTTATTTTTCTTTTAAATGGCTAGGTAGTGAACAAGCAATGCTTCTGGAGACACTGCTCTCCCAATAAACTGTAAGTAGCAAGTCCACACGGCCATGGCTTGTCCATACTGAACAAGAGACTCCAGACTGCCTAAAATACAGGCTGGTGTTGGCTCCAGATGCTGGTGAGGCCTGCCCCGGCCCAGGTTGGATGCATAAAGGAATCAAGGTTGGGGGCAGACAGGCACGGGAAGAACAAAAAGTAATACACAAATGAGTCACAGGCAGAGTAACTATATTTGGTTTTTTAAGGAAGCTTATAACTGAAAAGCAGGAGCTAAGTGTGCTCAAGACTTGCAAAAAGCAGTACAGAGCCTTTAAACAACTACCTTATAATTCTCATGCAAGCCAGTTTATCAGGGGAAGGATTGAAATGACTTTGCTTTAAAATTGCACTGCATTCAGCATTGTTCCTGCTCGTTTTAAGTTGAACTCCCAATAGTTTGCATAAATACCCCCTCCTGTGCCAGTTGTACAATTACCAAATAGAATAATCATTCTGCTCATCAGAACATTTATTATTATAGCATAAAACCCAAAAGGCTATCCTAATGCTTTGACTAGGTTTCTCTCTTTTTTTTTTAAACAAATGATTTTAATTTGCATACTGAAATGCTTTTAATCTAACCTGCGTCAATCCATTAAATGCCACCATGAACACTGGTAAAGGTTTTTTTTTTGTCACAACGTAAGCTATGCTAGTTTCCTCCCAATGAGCCTCTAACCCTATGTCTTCATTTTTACACAAACTTTATCACTACGCAGCTTCTGAGATAAAGAAAAAAATCTGGTATCGCTGAAATTAATTTGTAGTAAGTAATAAAATCAATTTCTAATCAAAGTGTTTATTTTAAAATAAAACAAATATTTTCATGCATTATTCAGAAATACGAATTTCTTATTTGAAATGTTACAAAACAGAATAAAGCAAGATACATAAACAGCTTATTTTAAGAGAAGAAAGTTGACTGGATGATGAAAAAGGAGATTAAATAGTCTTACTTTTCAGTACCTTCTTAAGAAGTCAATATTTTAAAAAATCATAAAAAAAAATTAAAATAGCTGAGAAATGGTTAAGAAAACAGAGATGATCCCATTTTTCTAAATCCCTCTTGAAAAATCAGGGCTGCTGAAAAACATTTCATGCTCTGCAAGCATCGTAACTGTCTCTCTGCACGTACAGGGCACAGAACAGTAGTCAAAGTGCAGTTGTTTAAAAAGGAATTAAAGCAGCTGTATTTTCAGTGAATAATTTGAGGAAAGTGATGATCTTCCTCATTGAAAGTAGCAATTTCGATTACATGCAGACAGTAAACTGTATTCCTCTATTTTATTTTAACTTTAGTAACTTTCCTTTTGGATATATTTAACAGAACTTAAAATGAAAAAAAAAAGGATCATTTGCATGAACCCCCTAGTGTAAAACTTGATTGCATTCCAGATCTTTTGCTTAATTATTAAGGAAAATCAAAACAGAAAATCAGTACAACTGATTAGCATTGCTAAAGTGTTTATATTAGCAATAAAAAACATGGATGACTCATTTAACTCTTGCCTTCTACAGTTTGCACCAAAATACCCTGTTCAGAGATTCACTTATTATATCATATATTGCTTAAACTATTCCTCACAAAAATATACCATTATCTTCACTGTCTACACATACATAGTACATGCGGTTTCAGTACTGAAAATGCTCACACGGAGTATGCCTTTGCACGATTGAAAAAAAAAAAGAAGTTTTTAGGAGACATAGGAGGGAGTAAATAGTCAAAGTTGGAACAGAAAGCTAATCTGACTTGCAAGATACGGTATAATTTCTGTCTCCAATGCAGTGAACACACAAAGCTTTCTTCTGTGAATAGCACAATTCGCCTCAATGAAAGACAACTTCAAAGAGGCAAATGGGTCCCAAATGCTCTCTGCTACCCAGCAAGATGTCCACATATAAACATGACATGTTTCCTGCTGCCCTTAAAACAGCAAAATTGCAAAACTGCTGGATGAGATAGCAGTGACAAGACCTTGTTTAGGTTTAAAACATATTTTAAAATCACTCTGATTACTAACCAGTCTGTACAACTATTTCTGTGCAAGTGAAGCCTCTGAATAGGAGATGACCTTGAACCCAAAATTAATTTAACACATTCTAAGGCATTTTACTGCCAGGTCTGCTTTTTCTTCCACTAAACAAAATCAGTATGTCTTAGAAAAAGCTAAAATCTTATTGCCCCTTCACATGTCAGGTTGCTAGCATCAGAGGTAAAGACTTCAGGTTACCAAGGTGCCTGGTTCCCCACACTACAGCAGGACTCTTAAGGCAGGAAATGTGCAAAGTGAGGCCACAGTCTGCGTAACTCACAGACGTCTTCATTTCCATAGATTTTGAATTAGGCCCATGGTTTCAGGGAACATGTACCAGGAAAGTTGTGCAGCTGCATAGAGCAGCAGTAGATTACTCCCCTACATTTATGTAATCTAATTAAGGAAATTTAGTTCACGGTATGTTTATTAAATCAAATGGAGGTGTTAACAGTCATCAGTAACAGTCATATTAAGACATTCAGCTGACAACCCCAAGGCACGTTATAATTACTAACAAACATATATACTAACAAGTATAGCAGGTGCACAGGTATCCCCCAAACACTCCCAGAAATTACTGGTACTTCTCTAAATGATGGTAGCAAACACATGAACCACATTTTTCTCTCTGGGAAGTAGAGGAAGAGCCTGTAAGTGCACTATATAAATACAGACCTTTAGCATTAAACATTATCTGACATTTGCAGGTGTTTTCACCTATCAACAACGTTGATAGTTTTGGACGCTTCGTTTTGATGTATTTTCACAGAGGCCAGGATTCAAAGAAGGGAGAAAAAAAAAGAAGAGGAGGAAAAAAGAAGAAAGAAAACAGCCAGAACAAAAGCTTTTCCTCTACGTACTGGAGTACTGAAAACTGAGACACAACTTCAAATTAATCTTTCAGTACTTCCAGAACTGGGCCAGAAGCACAGCTTAGCACACAGAATTTCCCCTGTAGCTTATGTTCTCCCTTGGCAAAATGTAAATATTGGTGGAACTGGGGGAATGGGGAAGATAAAACAATGCAAAACATAAAAGTAAAGGTTGCTCAAGGCTGTGAAGAAATACTTTATGGTCAGCAAAAACCAAGTGCTGCTGGTGAATTAAGAGGATTAGACCTGCATGAGCAGCAGAGAATAGACACAGTTGCTAACATGACATAAAGGACCCAAGACTGAGGGAAATGCTGATGTAGCTTTTCCATTCCTGTTGCAAAAGCAGTTTTATCACTGCAACATAAAACATGCAGCAGAAACATGCTATTCAGTTAAAAGAGGAACTTCAGGTTTGCACAATATTTTTGTAGTCTGCCATTGTAACTCTTAGGTTTTACAACCCTCATTTTGGTCTTTCTGCAGTGACATGGCACAGGTATTTCAATTTGCTCTGGGCTGTAATGCCAGGGGTAGTTATTAAATACATTTACAGTGCATTATCCTGCCTATATGCCAAATGCTTTTTTTTCTCTTTTCTGCTTTTTTTTCTTTCGTTCTTTTTTTGAATCTTCCTTATCTTCATTATTTGTAAACTTTCAGACAGAATTTGGGAAGTAAGCAGTCGTTGCTGGAGCCCCTTGCAGGTCTCTTCTACCCTCATGACCTCCAAAGTAGGACACAGACAGCATAACAGACACAGTGACTGCTACCAGTCCAAGGACGTGACAGCTCCAGATGAGATACCAGCTTTTTGAACCGTGTAAGGATGTTCTCTTAAGGAATTCCCTGGTTCTTCTTTTCACTTCCTACTTAGTGTTTTTCAGAACATTATTCTGCTTTCACCTCTGAGGTAGAACTCCTTTAGCAGGGGCACAGTTTGTTTATAAAATCATCTTTTAAACTTCTCGTGCCAGACAAAAGCAAAATTTGAACCTGACCTAATCTTGTCAATGATGATTAGTCTCATGTTAACTTTTGACTATGAAAAAACAATTGCTTTTATTGATTACATTAGAGAATTAATGGTGAAGAGCAGACGGGTTTTTTTCCTCTGGAAATTGGCAAGTCAGCTTGACACTATGTCACATGAATTCTCACTCACAAAACTCATAGGAATTAACCTGAATAGCAACATTAGCACACAGACCTTAGATGGGACAAAGAACTATAAACAAGGCAAATATAAATAACCACTAGTATGATTAAGTTAAAAGGCAGTCCTGCAGGAGGCCAAAAATCAGTCTAAGAGTCGGATTTATAGAACAGCTTTATCAGCAACCTGTAGAAAAAACATTAGCAGCATACCACCATTAAATGCCCAAATGATATTGAGCAGCACATCCGTTATTATCGGGAAATACAAAGGCAAAAAAACAACAAAACTATACACAAAGTGATTTTTTAGTGAAAGGCTAGAGAATAATCTAGAGCAGAGACATTTAACAGAGGAAAGCTATCTGGAAGGTAGCAATGTCTAGAGAGACCTAGCATGAAAATTGACTACAAATTACATATGCATCTGCAAAACAATCTAGCAGCTAAAACTCTTTCTTTACTTGAGCATAGAGGCATCCCACCACAGGACAAAGAAGTAATGGTACTTCTGGCTACAGCCTTTAAAACCCAAAATAAATACCATACTATGCATAGTGTCAGGAAGATGGGAGCAAATTGGTGGAACTTAAGAGAGACAGGCAGAATGGTTTTACTCCAGCAATAGGTAACCCATGGAACTATGAGCTATA